GTACGGTACGTACATGTACATGTACCTGTACCGTTATTCAGTCCACTGCACTCATGGTTACACCCCTGAAGCTTGCTGTCAAAGACAGATGACTATCAGAGAGATTCAGTTCAAGTTCATAAATTTTGTATGCTTAATTACATGTACTAGATCCATCTTTGGTCCATTTCTCATTTGAATTTTTAAACTTGTGACGTTTTTTGTGCTTCAGTTTGAGTGAAAGCATCCTACATGTACAATTTCAAAGCATCTTGTCTTTCAAATGTTTGAGTGAAATAAGAAAATCTTTAAATTATTGTCTGTACTAAGGCATTTCTAATTTTAGCGCACTTATCATTTTTGCATTGGGCCCTAAGCTCAGATTCAAGCTTTAATCAGCACTCTTCACTAGCGAGCAACAAATCTCACCACTCCCCTACTAGAAAAACAAGCAAAAGAAGTAGAGGAAAATTCCTTTTCCAAACGATAAAAATCTTCTCCTGAGTTAGGGAGGAAAACCCGACCTCACCGCGGGGAGAGAGAGGAGTTAATTACACAGGTTAATCTGCCCGGCTGGAAGCGGTACTTGCGACCCGCCAAAACGTTTTAAAGCGACAGTGCAGTCACGCCGGTGCGTGACACGTCCGCAGGTCTGCGTGCCATCTCCAGGTGATGGCTTAGTCCTCCTGGCATTGAACAACGACGACCAGAAAAAAAAACCAGAAAGAAGTAGCGACAGAGAGAAAAAAACCGGAGAGACCAAATTCCTTTTGGCGAAACTTCCCTGGCCATCTCGTGTGGGGAGGACAGCTGGAGTGAGCCTGCAGCAGCTCTTAACAACTGTTGAAAATATTTATTTTTTCTCGGATGAGGAAGAAAGTATAAAGGACAAGAAATATTTCCAACAACTGGATGGGTTGGGTTGAAAAATTCGTTTTAGAATCACAAAATTATTAAATAGTTTTACTTGTTTTAGGGATAGAGGGCTCCATAATATGTAATTAGAATCAAAATAATCAAGATCTTGACACCCCGTCAATAATTCCAGCTTATGATTTGACTAAAAAAAAGCTAGGTCTTTGTAGATTTAGAGGTAGCTAAATGAGTCAAATCATAAGCAGGAATAATTGATGGGGTGTCAAGATCTTGATTATTCTGATTCTGATTACATAGATTGCCAAAGTGCCAAGAAGAAGCAACAACAACAATGACAGCAACAAAAACAACAACAATAACATTATCTTTTGATATAACATATTTTTGAACTTTTTCCAAATGAAGTGTCAAAATACCGTTAACATTTTCTTGCGTGAACTTGAGTAATTCTGGGTTCACATACACATAAAACTTAATAGTTTGTTTTCAAAATGTCAAAGTAACCCACATGTACATATGCATTTAAAAGTCATAGAAAGTAAAGATTCATGTAATGTAACACACAGGCAGAATGTATAAAAAGTTAGTAGTCTGTGTGATTGTCTATATGAACAGCTTTTGTAGCAATATAAGCGTGGGTGTTCTCTGGACGCCCATGCCTGTCCCTTGAATACCGTTAGGGTAGAAGACTTTTTCCACCGCAGATGTTAGCAAGCCAGCTAATTGCTTGTAATAGGATTATGCAAGGACGTCCCTCGGCCGAATTCAGCGGATTAAATTCATCTAGGGAGCTCTGCTCGCACACACATACCCAGCCACTGAATACCGGTACTTATACGAGAAGGCCGTTCAGTCTGCTCGCGAGATTTTTTTCAATTTACTTCGTGGAAAATTAGAACTGGCTAAAGAAAATTAGGGAAGACGTTCTTAGTGATTAGGTTTGGCTGGATAGTTTGCTTTGAGACAATTATAGCAGACAGTTTCTTACAGAATTTTATTTTTGCTTTTCATGCATTTTGTTCGTTTCCAATAAAAGCGCCACTCAAAATCCAAAGAAGGATATGTTCAAAACCTACCTTTTTTGTAACCTGTTGAAGTTTCAGCTCAGTGGATATTACACTTTTCAAGAAAACAATGAGAAACTGTGCAGCCTTTTGATCGCAAACACGATTTCATCAGTCAATATACCGATAGCACTCTTTAAAAAAAAAAAAAAATTACAGTGAATTGGCTGATCGTTGGAAATCACTACATTTCATGATTTATTCTAAATGACAGCAAGCCAGACGGAATCATTTTACGGCATAATCCAAGTATTTGGTGGATGTCTTTGGGATAAATACAAATGATCATATATGTATGTACGTGAACACATGTTTATATGCCTTTTAATGGAGGTACACGTATTCATTTAGCATGCAATGTTGCAGACTGTACTGCGAGTGGCACCTTGCAGAACATTGGAAAATATGTAGGTCTTCATGAATGCACAGGGCCGTACATATGGGTACGTGCGGATGGATTGAATTGCGTTGGAGGCCCAAAAACAGGCAATCCTGGTTAGATTTCTGATTGTGATTTTTTTGTTCTACCTCCATGTCCAAGTTTGTAAAACAAATTATAGTAATTCATTAATAGTCATGGGGGAAATGGTTATTATGAAAAAAAGGAAGAAGTGAAAAAGAAAGGGCAAAAAGAAAAATTGTCATAATTCTGAAGAAAATCATTAGAATTCTTTGAAAGAACAGTGAAATGTAATGGGGGCATGTACATTTTGTACCTTACAAAATAGGGCAATCTGAGACAAATATTAACCCTTTAAGAACCACCCCGAATCCATCAAAATCCACACCCCTGTTTGGGAGTACAGATGGATTCAGGACGTTACTGGTACCTCCATATTGAAAACTGAGGAATTTTGATGGATTCAGGAAGCCTAGCAGTACTGCAGGATTTTGATGGATTCAGGATACCTCCATCTTGAGCAGTCACCAACACAAACATTTTTGGTGTGACTGTAATTGGTAGATTTTGGCGGATTCAGGATACTTTCTAGTAAAGATACCCAAGGGGCTGGGGTTAAAGTGATTACAAGATATTCAAGTTTGTTTAATTTAATAGTGAAGTATTTCCAGATTGTGCATTAAATTTTACCCAGAATGCAGACATATCTTCATAAATTTGGAATTAAATACTGTGTCTAGACATTGACAGAAATGGGGATTGAAAAACAACAGTCTGATTACACTGTGGAATGATTATCTGTACACGCTAATTGTTATACCGGATATGTCAAATGTGCATGTAAACAGCGGTCTGGTTGTATAATGCTGAGAATCCAAATGTCAACACGTTGACCGTGGACAGCTGAGAGATTGGGTAAAAAGGTGCATGCACCTGGTTTTCAGAATACATGAAATGCATCGTGTTGATCGCCATGAGCTGATGAGCAGTTAAAGGGGAGTTGTAGCCACAAACTTGCATAAATTCATTCCAAAAGTATCCTACCGTTATTAAAAATCTCAACTTGGATTTTTGCTAGGATGCAACCTCAAACCTGCAAAATCCTCCATGTAAAAATTGCATACAGCCACAATCCTGTAAAATCATCCGTTATTTATTGAAAGTGGTCCTTGGAGGGTTGACCACCACCTCAATCCTGCAAAATCCCCCCCGACAATCACTGCCAATATGTTGAGGCAGAGCCAGTGACATTCTGGAGCAGTGCGGAGGATTTCAAATATAGGCCTAAATTTAAGCACAGCTGAGCATAAACAACACAAGGTTACCAGCCCAAGACTTTGACACAGTGCATCCTCCAAAATCAGCCACAAACTTTTGCCATATACATGTAGCCTCAATCCGTCAAAATCTTCCATTTTGCAAAGAGGATTCTGGAGAATCGGGAAGGCTACATGTAGGTATCATTACAAATATACACAAATTTCACTTTAAAAACACCCTTCTCATAGCTTTATGCCCTGTTGACGTCATCACTCTTTTTGAGAAATATCTGATTTTCCCCCGAAATTTTTACGTGACATCAAAAGACAAAAGGGACCACACAAAAAAATAAATCAACCTATTTCAGATGCCCATTCCATGTATTTCTGACAAATACCTGTAAACCTAAAAAAAAAACCACACACACAAAAAAACCGAAAAGTGAATCAGAGTTAATCAAACGTGATGTTTGTTTGTTCAAATTCAAACATGTTTTTTTGAAAAATGGCGTGCGTGTGAACCCTGCCACGCGTTATTGTCCCTGACTCTTTGTTACTCTGTTTGACGTATTGACAGAATATTTCTATAGCTGGTTAAGAAAAAAATAGATTGAAAAATATGACCGACATTCATGTTGATGCGAACATTCAAAAGTGGCTTAGGTAAAAGATGGTTGTCATATTTGATTGATAGGAGGTTCAGCTTTGGGGTTTTGAGGGACAGAGTTACATATTACATGTACAGTGTATGTCATCTGTTATCATCACTTTACTATAAAGCGCAAAGGGTGTGCGTACGTGAGTTTTTTCTGCATTCAATAGGGGACGTTGAACAATAACAGGACAATAAGGTCCCCAATTTCCGAAGGTCCCCAATTTGGCGATCGTGTGTAAAATATATGGGAGGTCTTCCTAAAAAGTTTTAGTACAAACAAAAGAGGGACAATAGGGGGTCCCTGATTGCAGGCAAGTACATTTTGTACACACTTGGGTGTGTGTGTTAACACACCTACACAAAGTGGCGACACCCCCACTTTTGCGGGAGTGAGGCGGTGAAGTCACCTCCTCGCTTTTGCGGGGCGAGGCAAAGCCTCGTTTATTTACTATTTATAAAAATAAATAACAAAGCCCCCCCCCCCTTGGGTTAAAAAAATCTACTGGTCTCCCTACTAAGACACTAACATAAAGTGGCTGTTACAACATGTATGAGGTGATTGGCCTATAAAATAATCCAGTTTGTTTTGATGGATCTGAAGTGGTATTTCCGCTGGCTTCGTTTTGAACATTCTTCTTTGGATTTTGAGTGGTGTTATTATTGGGAATGAACAAAATGTATGAAAAGCAAATGACCCTTCATTAAAGTTTCTGTTTACAACTGTCTTGGACTAATCAGATGTAACCATCTTTCTTTCCATTTCACAGAAAAACAAGGCACGATAAAACGATCACTCGTGAATCACCAGGACGAGGATGGGTAAGTTGAATAGAATTTCTAGGTTGATATACGATGGCTTGTGCTCTTTCCGCAAGTGCAGAACAGTGTGTTATAAAAAAAAAAGGAAAAAAGTCCCTACTTATTATTAAAGTTATTGTTGCCTATGGTGAATCAAATTGTTTGCATTCTTGGAACGCATACCAGTTAAAGACAACATATGCTGCGCAAGACTACGCCATGTGCTGAACAACTCAAAATATTTTTTTTCGGGTGGTAAAGAACTTAACAGACAACTCCAGTGATAAAGTTAAGTTCTTTAAAATGAGGATGATGAGTTGCTGAAACTTCAGCATACAGATGTTTTCGTACTGAAATTTGGATGCAAGGTCATGAAATTGAATACAGATTTTCCTCGTCACTGAAAAGTTGTGGTACGTATGGAGATCTCCCGAGTCTATTCTGGCATCTGGCTGGGATGGTCCATTTTATGAAGAAGCGCGATGACTGAAAGAGGAAACGAACAAGGGTACACGAGGGAGTTTTCGCAAGCAAACGGGTACAGTTAGTGCGCCGTATGTGGTCCTGTGATGTCACGCACAACTCGCTATCCGCTACACGTGTACACGGCACGGACATATCAGTGAGAAACACACAGTAAATTGTCAATTTTTGCCCTCATTTTCTGTACCCACTAGCAGATCTGCCTAGTGTTGATTCACCGATGAATTCATAAAACCAGGGAGTGCTCGGGCGGTTTCGGGCGCTACGCCGAGAAATGGGCAGCGGAGAAATGGGCAGGGCGGTTTCAGGGGGCCGTATCATAAGTCCGAGGCCTCATAGGTCCGATGCCTCATAAGTCCGAAATTTTGGACTTATGAGGCGTCGGACTTATGAGGTATAAAATGTGTTTATTCCACCTCATAGGTCCGACGCCTCATAAGTTCAACGCCTCATAAGTCCGACATCATAAAAATGAGGCGTTTAATTTGTCAGACATACAAGGTGTCGGAGCTATGAGGTGTCGGACTTATGAGGCGTCGGACCAATGAGGCATCGGACTTATGGGCCTTTATTTGGTTAGGGGATGCAATTTTGTCGGTCTTATGAGGCGTCGGACCAATGAGGCGTCGGACTTACATTGTATGAGCAGACCCCGGTTTCAGGCGCCAAAGTGACTAAAGGGTTCATCACGTAAGATTTGATTGAAAGAGGATGAATTGTTGAACACACATGTGCCATTTGTCTCTGTTTTGAAGCAGGATTAGCTGCAGATATGAGGCTTTCATCGGAGGTGGCCATTTTGGATTACTCCTTTTTTTTTGTAACAGTTTGATAACTATAAGCATACAAATGGTTGACAACCAGGCATGCAACTTTTCTTCGGATCATCTGTCATGTCCTCATTTTCACCTCATACAAGTTTGCAAATGTACAATGAATGCCATTAAAAATTGAAAAACGATACATAAATTCTTATAAAAATTTGGACTTTCCTTATTTTTTGGCTAAGTTTCCCAGTTTCGTGTCAGGATTTACGGTACTTTCCTCTGTTTTTGTGTGCTGCTTCTCAGTTGCATATCTGGATGTTTCGTACTGCTGTTGAATGCAGCCACACCAGAAAATACTACATGATTGCTTTAAATGATGTGGGGGTGGGGGGGGGGGGGGTGGGGGTGGGGTGGGGGGTGGCCTAGTGGTTATGGTTCGTGACTCATGATCAGAGGGTCAGGGGTTCAAATCCAGGTGCTGGTCACATGCTGTGTCCTTTGGCAGGCCACTTCACCTCTACTTGCCTCTCCCCACCCAGGAGCATATATGTACATACACGTAAGTGGGTACCGGCATTAGTTGGGGAGTAACCTGCGATGGACTGGCATCCCATCCAGGGGGGAATAGAAACATTCTCAGTCATTTCGTGCCAAGGAAACCGGAGATAAACGCTGGCCTGATGGGCCGTGACAGACTATATTTTACTTCTCGCTTAAGATTTGTTAGCGCTTTCCGGTGCACTAGATGTGAAGACCCTTCTTCCAAGTTCAAAGGTGCGCTGCTGTAAATTGACTGCCACCGAAAATATACATCCCGCTGAGAAAACATGCCCATAGGCTGACTGGCAAAGTTCAGTGGGTAAACAAATTACGGAACAACCTAGCTTTTCAAAAGGTTACGTGGATACTGAAAAGGTGAATCTGTGAGTGTGTATCCATGTAGATGTTCCTTATTTCTTGAAGGGAATACAACATATGCAAACATCAAAAAACAAAACTACTATGAAATACCTTACTGATACTGGACTGTTAGTAAATGACAGTCTAAAGCATCCTGTAAAATCATGGCACCTATAGTGTGCTGTCATTTTCAAGAAAAGTGGTATTTTTGTATCAATTTCCAATGCTTGTTGGAAAAAATCTGGGTTGTTTTTCAAATACTGCCCCCAATTTACCATATTTAGCAATTTTAGCAATTTTCTTTGCAATTGAATACACATAGACGGGTACAAGCCTTCTAGACTGGTTCCCTGACCTTACAATTCCCCGACTTCTATAAATTGCTCCATTTCAAATGAAGTGGCATCAGGGAACCAGACAACAGGAACATGGTTGTTTTTCATTTTTTTTCTCAGCATCTACAAGCCCAAAACTTCAAACAAGTCAGTTTAACAATATTTGCTATGAAATACTACCCCCCCCAAATCCATCCGTTTTTGAAAATTCTCTTTAACTTAATATACCATTTCATTACTGTACACTTTTTCATTGTTGTTTTGAGAAATCTGAGATTTAATTTTACGTTTGAGCGCTCCACTGCAAAATCATGCGGCAAACCGAATTGTATGGTTTAACCTTATTAGGATATGGACTGTCAGTTGATGGGTGATGGGTGACTAACCTTGTCAAAGTCATATGGCTTTCCATTCAGCAAAACCAGTGAACTGAAGCATTGCAGAACGGCCCGAATATACTTTTTACAAACACATACCGGTAGATCTGTTTGATTACAGGCATGGCGTAGGATCCTTTGCAGTTATCCCAAAAGTAACCTGCATGTACATGTACATGTGTGCCAAATTATTTTCAAAAAGCTTACTTGGTTAATTAGAGATCATACTGGTGCTAAACACCCCCTGAAATTATTCCGTCTGGCTTGCTGTCATTTAAAATCAAGAAACGTACCAGTACCGGTAGGTGTTTTCCAACAATCAGTCAGTTGGTTGATTTTTGGAAATAAAGAGTGATAAACGAAATTGTGATTTCGTGATCAAAAGGTTGTGCATGCTTTTTCACGATTTTCTCAAAAAGCAAAATATTCACTGAGCTGAAACTTCAACAGGTTAGGTGTTGAACATTCCTCTTTGGATTTTGAGTGGTGTTCAAGTGTTATTATTAGTCTAAGCTCCATCAGTGCTGCAGTTATCACAAGTTTTTTGTGGCAGTTTCTTACACTCGATGCAAAGTCGTGAACGTGAAGTGGATGATTGAAAGATCGTCTGCTGCATTCTTGCAAGATCATCTTTCTGCAGTTGTGACTTCAGCACTTGCTGTCACAGCGTTTGCCTGCCCTGTGGCCCTGCAAAATTTCTATTTCATCTCCATCTATAGAGCACACTTTAAAATATTCAAGATAAACGATTATAATATTCTTGATAAAAACAGAATTGGAAATTTTTTTTTTCAAAATTGGCTAAGTTATAAACTGTTTTTAAATTAAAATAAATGTCTCTTCTGCTTCACAAATCTTTGCATGAGCAACACCGTGAGATAGGTGCTTTGCCAAACCATGCATGCACAATTGAGCGTCAGATGAATGCCTCCTGCTCCGGAGATAATTGACTTCGTCTCCTCTCGTCTTCTTAAGAAAAGAGGGGAAAAAAATTCACATCTCACCCCTCATAAATAAAGTGCTCATTTCACGCGGGATTTAACCATCGGTCTTCGGAAATTACAACAGTGTATACGACGTACCTCGGGGGAGTTAAAAAAGAAAAAAGCAGGACTGGTTTCCGGCTCATTTACTGGGGGATTTTTTTTTTCTTGGGAAGATGGATCTTGGCGTCATTGATCGTACACGTAGATAATGCTTTTGGGAGTTCTCTCCCGTGCTTGCACAGTACAGAGTTTGGCAGTGCTCGGAGCATTTGATTAGTCTGGCTGCCGGTGTCCCAGAGGATGAATTTGGGATTTTAAGGGTTTTGAGACTGAGGCATTTTGGGGTTTTGGCGAAATGGGCAATGCTTGTGGGTGGGGGAGGTACATGTACTTGATGCTTCTAGGGGACAGCACAGATTGTATGGGTGGTGACCTTTCTAGAATTTTGGATATCTTCTGTAAATCATGTACCCATACATGTACACAACTTTTGGGTACAACATGCACATTAACTTGTTGTCATACAATGTACATGCACACATACGTTCAAGACATGTTTGGTGTGCATTAACCCTCTGTTTGTTTGATCAGTCACAGACAGTCAAAAAATCACACCTGTTCCCCTGCCATGCCTTTACACAGGCTAGTCACCAACAGTCAGATCATATTTCTTGTAGGCACTGTCACAGTCAAATTCCATCAACAGACAAAAGCAGGTGACCGGTAGGCACAGCTGGCTTGTCAATCTCCTGTACAGTCAAAGCACAGCTACAATGTATCATGTTTCACAACAATCACAGCCAGTCAATCCTGCTTTATGAAGGCAGGGAGCACTCAACTGTTAAGAACAGTCACCTGATTTATTTTGACTGCTGGGCTGGCCTTGTTGGAATTGCCAGAGAAGGGTGTTCTTATCGCTGAGTAGTGGGAGATGGACGTACCGGGTATCTAAAAGAGTTTGTAATGTTCATTTGCATTTGTAGATGCCAAGACTTTTGTGATAGTCTAGCTCAAGTTCAAAAAGTCCCCTCCCCCGACTCAACCCTACTACCTCCTCTCTTCCCTCTCTTCCCCCCTTAAAAAAAAAGGGGGCTGCCAAAAAGAACGGGAAAGGGTTTTATAAGTCCATAGGAGAAGTGAAGCCTATGAGAATGTCAGTGTGGTTTGATAGGA